CCCCCTGGACGGACCTAGACATCTCCCACCCACCACCACCGGCCACCATCCGGCTCATCCAGTAAAGCGTCATCGTATGAAGAAATACCGCACAGAACGCCCCCCCCCCCTCTCTCTCTCTACTTATAAAACTACGGTGGCAAGCATAGCGCCAAGCCAAATGTGTTTCAGCAGAGAACGAAAAATAAGACAGGGTCGTAGACGGAGATAACCGATGTCATGTACCTGCAGACCAGGTTACAGTATATTGAGTTGATAATGTGTGGTGAACGTCAATCTGCGTGTTTCATCTATTCTTAAATATTTTTTTTTGCTGAGATACTAACGGACATTTTTTTTGAAAAATAATGTATAGGTTTAAACGTGTTTTCTGAGGCGCGCCGTGGGCCGTGGGGCCCACCACCACCCTCCCGCAGAGCGCCGCCGGGGCCATGCCGCAAGCGCCCGTGCGTTTGATGCATTAGTGATGACAGCAAGATGTTGGAGGTTGATTGTGGGCCCACCGCCCCGCCCCGCCCTACCCCGCCCCGCCCCGCCACGCCCCACACCGCCGCACCGAACCGAAACTGGTCCGCCAACGATCAAAGCTGTGCTAAAAGGCTTGGGGGATGCTGGGACCACACCCCCACTCGGCCCTCAGGTAAGACCCTTCCTTTACTCACGACGCAGCCGTTACACCAAAAACGGGCAAAGAAACAATAATAATAAAAGGAGAGAACTTTGAAAATAAAAATCAAACTCTACGAAGGCGACTGACAACAACAACAACTAGCTGCGCTGCCAGCATCAGCAGCAGCAGGTTTTCCTCGCGGCCCTGCGCTGCAACAAGAACAACAACAGCGACTCAACTTTGACCGCAAAGGCTATAAAGGCGCGGCACTGCGGTCGGTGCACAAGCATAAAAGTGTTTGAGTGCACTTGTGTTTAACGCGCGTTTAACGCGTGTTTGCGCTGATCAGATGGTGATTGGGCCCGAAGCTGTACCTGTTGAGCAGCTCTGCCATTTTATTCTGACGGTGGTGGTGGGTACTTTCTTTAAGGGAGAGGCGGGGCGTATTTTCTAATAAGGTCAAGGAGAAAGGTTAGTACTTATTTTTAGAGAAGGGCACTTTTTTTTAGCAGGGGTTACTTTATTCGTAGAGGGATGGATGCGTAATATTTAAATAATGGTTACCTTTTTCAGGAGTAGGAATTATCTACAGGGGTCCTTTTGTAGGCGATAGGTACCATTGGTACCATATTCAGACAGAGATTATTTACTGGGATGAACACAATATCTGACATGGAAAGAACACTTCCACTCTTCTCGAAAACGTACTCACCTGTAAAAAATTATATCCTACCACACATACACATACGCACACCAAGTCTGTGGCAAATGTGTAGACTGTCGTAAGTTTTTTTGACTCAGTTGTGGGAAATGAGGTAAACGTATCACTAAGGAGTATAAAGTTTCAAACTCTCTCAATTGGAGGCAAAGACCTTTAAAAATAACACCCAGTAGTAAAAACATTAATATTTGACATAAGCAAGCTTCAACAGCCTAAAAACACTTACGCCATTCTAATTCAAATTATGATTTGTGGCAGAGTGTCGTAAGTCAACTTACGACAAATGAAATATCTATGGATTTGGGGGAAGAGTGTCGTAAGTCAACTTGCGACAAATTTACCATAAAATAAGCCACAAGAACTATTTCTCAGCAACAAAGTCATAGGAAAACATTGCCATGATGATAAATGCCTTCCTAGATTAAAGCTACAAGGTGAATTTTACCTCTGCTCCTCTTTGTTGATAGCAGCATCTTTAGTTCAGCTTAGAAGTCACAGTGAAGGGACATGCCGACCAAGGCATGGCTGGAAGGGTAACCTCTCCGGCAGTTTTGACATTGTCATTCACGATTCGTCGGACGGAGTTTTTCCACATTTTGGCACTCTCTCGGCAAGGAAACAACGCCTATGATGTTTCCTTTGCCGGAGTACGGTTGTCATACTCTCAAAGACACTGAAGTTATTTTCTTTTGTACTACCAGTACCACAAATTACTATTTGAATGAATCACACTCAGAATGGAGAACAAAACAAACTAGGCTGTCTTCTGCTTGCCGCGACGCCTTGCACAAAGCATTCAAAACAGTCCACAACGCTACACGCACGATTTCTTCTTATCCGCAGTTCGAACCAGCCAAACCAAAGCGGACGACGTTGTTTGTACACACCATTTTAGAATTTACGTTCACTGTCAATGTATCGGTGACATTGCCTGTCATCGATTCTACTTTTTGAAAGTGTAAGTCTGCTTCATTTGGAATTCGCATTTGGTCCTGCTGAACTCGTTATTTTTGCTTTCCTCAAGTTATGTTGTTGTCTTCTTCATAACCCCGCAAATAATGTGCACATTATGCTTTTGCTCACCATGCATTTCCCTGTTTTCTCTTAGTTTTCTGGTTTTACTTGCGCCCGAACTACTACAAATCAATGTTGCTTGTTTCAGTTCATGTTTTCACTGTATTTTTTCTGATATCCCCCTTTTGTTGCATTTACCTGCTGTGTTGGCAAATTTATCTATTAAGGATAAGTTTCTTTCCTCCTTTTGAATGTGTACTAATTTCAGTTTTTTAATGTGGTTTCAGGTATATTTGGTGGACTACGAGACTGCAAAGGCGCTGCTCACCATCATTCTCATTGTGGAGAATCGCCAGGGAAACATCCCCCGCCTCACAGCCGTTCCATAAGATTCACCAGTACACATTGCGAGCCCAACATTAACATTCATCTAGCAACCAGTTTGAGATTTGTGTATGTAATCATATGTGTCAGCATGTTTACAGGTATATTGTTTTGTAAACAAGTGCCTAATTCTTTTTCTTTGTTTGGTCAGCAGGTCTTTTGTTCTATCATTAAAAGCCACCAAGCCGACGTTTGGTTAGTGTTGGGCAAGTTATTGACAAGTTTTTGGTGGTGGCTCAAAGAGATAGAAAATCCAAGACCAGTTGTTTTGAAGTGAGTAGCATGGGTTTGATTCTGTGAAATTCAATTTATGTATTCGTGGCAAGGTATAATGCTGTTGGAACATAGTTCAAACCTATTAGGTGGTATGTATGACATGTCTGAGAAAACTTGACCTTGTTTCCAAAAATTATTATCTGGCAAGGCAAGTGAGTTGCAAGGCATTCGAGGAGCCTCTTTTAACTAAATAGATTAATAGTAACACCTTTCTTTCCTGTTTTTTTGTTTTTTGTTTTTTCTGCAGCATAGAGAGGAAGTTATCAGACTGCACCCTTTGCCAACAATTACTGTGATATGTGATCTTAAAATAATAAAATATCCGCTATCCAAACCTGAGATGTCTTCTGTTTTTCCTAGTTCCCCGTTCACTTGCTGCATTGTCCATGACACTACTATGAAAAGCCAAATTGCAACCAGAGGGAATAGTAAAATAATTTTCCAATGATAGCTGAGCTACTGGACTGACGTTGGCAAAACCTGACTTTACTGGGAAGAGAGACAGTATAGAACAGATCAGGTTACGCATTCCTATGTAGTATATTAGCAGTTCATCAAACGGGAGAATAGTTTTGAATAGTCGTTTTGTAAAAGCCAACATGGAAACAAATAGTTTTATTTCAATAAATAAAGACAAAGCATGGCAGCGAGACTAGATAGACTGCCATAAGTAAAATAATTAAAAGCAGCGACTAGACCAAGACAAAGAGAACAACTGCCCAAGTAACATAAATGAAAGCAGTAGACTACTTTCAAAAACACAGATGCTGAAAACCATATTAACTATTACTTCAATGAAATGTTGGGAGTTTATGCGGAGTTTGAACTTGACTAAAGCATAAACAAATTAATTTTTAAAATAAAT